GGTACATAGCTTATCTATTAATGCTTCTTGTCAACTGTTTGGTCAACACTGTAAATAGGGATAGTTTATGTAATAAAAAGCCTTTCGTCAAAATTTGTGGCATGAAATACACGCAAGGACGATCTGAAAATTTCTGGTTATTATATACGTTTGTAAAAGAAGATCCATTTAATTTTAGAACTATTTTATGAGTTATTATGTAGTCTAAACATAAACTGTGTAAATGTTTATGTTTATAAAAATTTATGTTTATGTGTAAATTACGCCTCGGAAGGGTTGAAACCTGTCCAAACTATCATATATATTATTAAAACTAAATGGGGTTTTTTCACATTCTGAATCAACCAGTCGACGGACTTTCATTATTTTTGTGTTGAAAGAAAGATAATTTTGAGAACTAGGGAATGTCAAAGCCATAATTATAATTAAGGGTCCCAGTTTTTTAGAAATTAAGTTTTAATTTTTAAAAAGTCTAGCAGCCGACGCTAACCTTCTAAGCCAGCTTTTAGTACAATATAATTTGCTTAACATTATTAAGTTAATTAACTTAACAGCTGTAAACATTCAGCATTTGTGACACAAATTCAGCATTTGGAAACAAATTTAAAGACATATTTAGAGTTGACTTATTTATACTATGTGTAATGCTGACCATTGATGCATTCAATTCTTAGGTATGAGGATGGCAAATTAATTAAATTTGCATAGTAAAATAGTAGGATGTTCAAATTATTTTTTAAAGGAATCTTTGTAATCATCGATTTGTTTTAGTCCCATATAATTTGTTTTAACTAACAGATGGTTGAATGTAATATTGTTCCATATAACTATTAGGTTTTTGGCGAATTTCCCATATAGGGAATAAGCTATTACCGTAGTACTTATGGTAACACCTGGACCCGGGACAGATTTAATTTTTCGTTTTGAGGTCCCTAGAGGCCAAAAACACCATCCGTTCTAATTCATATATACAGGGTGATCAACTCAAGGAGGACCACCATTGGGAAATTGGAAACGGTAAGAATTAGAGATAGAGAAAACATTAAATGGGGGACATTCCTTTATTTTTTGTGGCAGTTAAAAATATGATTTTAGTTTTTTTATCATGTTATCGGATAGAATATGCAATTTAACAACTTTTGTAGCCTTTTTCAATAAACAACTTTTTCGATAAACCCACTCGTTTAGGAGTACAGCCTATGGAAAAATTACTTCCGGTGTACATTTTACATCATGTAGCTCCTAAACGAGTAAGTTTAGAGCAAAATTGCAAAAAGTAAATTAGCCTTAAAATTGCATCTACATTCTTTAAAGACTATAAAATGAAAAGTTTTCCACTTTTCAAGTTTGCCGCCATTTTTTAAATAATATAATTCATATTTTTAATGAATTTTATGGTCTTTTTGGAATGTGGATGCAATTGTAAGACTTTTTTACTCTTCACATTTTGCTATAAACTTACTTGTTTAGGAGCTACATGATGTAATATGTACACCGGAAGTCATTTTTTCATAGGCTGTAACTCCTAAACGAGTGGGTTTATCGAAAAAATGTCAAGGATAAAAAAGTTTTAAAATTGCCTATTATGTCCGAAAATATGATAAAATATAGGGTGTTCGATAAGAAATTTCAAATTTGGCCGCCATTTTGGAAAATGGCGGCTGAATTTCAAAACAAACTAAAATCATATTTTTAACTGCCACAAAAAGTAAAGGTATGTCTTCCATTTTAAGTTTTCTCTAATTCTTACAGTTTCCGATATCACAATGGTGGCCTCCTTGAGTTGATCACCCTGTATAGCCTATATTTATTTATTTATATATTTTTCCCGGGGGGAACCCCAGGACCCCGCTCCTTTTTGGGGGGTATTCCATACCCCCCAGGCCCCCGGTGACCCCCCCCAAAATATATGTCTAGGACCGCCCTTGTCTTCTTTACCTATAAAACACATGGGATACAGCCTTTCTTCACTGATCACGTAATGCGTGATTTTCTATAAAGTCTTGGAAAAATAAAAGGTAAAATACATAGAATAAAGGTGTACTGTATGTGGTTTAAACACAAATATTCATCAAACTGTGTGATATTTTGTTATTGCAATGAACAATTTGGGAGTATCGTATTGTTTAAGTCGATGGAAAATCTCTGTTGATTCTGTTTTACAAGCAAACCAAAAAGATACATTAGTCACCGCTCTATGCGACATATTCTAACCAGAAAATTGTAATCGTATGATTATATAAGCATTGGTAGGATTGCAAAGTACTACACAAACATTATTTCAAGGGTAATAACAGTCACAATTTCCGCCGACTTTAAAAGAGTCAACTAAAATATTATACTAATGGACACAACTAAATGGAACAACTAATGGAACAACTCACGATGTACATATAACAGTTCGATATAAGCATTGAGTATACACGTCAGTGGATACGTGTATACCCAATGATATAAGCAACGGTTCTTGCAATTTATTGCTTATTGTTTTTTAAGAGTTGTTTTCGGACTTACTCTGTTTTCGTACTTACTCACACTCGTATAAGGTTGTCCACGTTTGTCATTGATAATGTAGCCATGTTACATGGTTACACCCGTTGTCAAGAATATGTTTACAAGTTTTTCGTCTGTTTTTGAATAGCGATACATTTTTTCACATACTTAAGAACCACCTGATTTCGTGCATTACATGTTCGTCTCAATTTTATTTGCTTTAGTAGGCATTCTTTTGGTTGATGAGGACTTCAATCGGTCCTTTCAATGATTGCTCATGAAATATAGTACTTTGTCCATTAATTTTTATTGTTTGGTAAAATGGATTAAATTATCCAGCAAACCCAAATTGAAATAGTAAATATAGTATTTGAAACAAATCAGTAACATGTTAATAATGTAACCTACATTATTTCCTTGAATTGCATAACAGCAATTAATTGGGCTGATCCTAATATAAAAAAATCAATATGTTCTTCATAGGCATAACATGGGTTCATATCATGAGCCGCTGGGGCTGAGCCCAAGGGATTTAAAAATGTAAGGTTGGTTTGCTAATGTACGTGACACGCTCTTTCTTTGAGACATGAATGATCAAAATTGCCTAAGAAATGCGGAGGAGTTCAACGGAAAAATTTCGTGTTGGCGTTATACAGTATAGTTGAAAAGTCCTGGATTTGCTATATTTTTTTAACAATATAGATAAAGTAGTGAGACTTGGTATATCAATAATAGCCATAAACATCTACTGTCTTAAGCTATTATCTTTTTTTTATCCCTTAAGGGGGGTGGACCACAAAGGCTAAGACAAAATTCATATCAAAAAAAATTTTTGATAAATTCATAAAAAATTCATATTTTATATACAAAACTATCATATTCCTCTCAATCATTTCAAACCTAGGAGGATTAAACATTAATGTTAATTAATGTTAAATCCTCCTAGATTCAAACCTGAAACACCCGGATCGAAATTCGCCTGTCGTTATTTTACCATCGCCTTTTTTTTAAATATATTTTTCAAAAAAGAAATATTATATTGATTTACTTTGGATTTTAAAAATGTTAACGTTTTATTTTGTTAAAGATTTATGGTGATACGTAAATATTGTGGTGTAGTAAAGTATATTATATTGTAGTTAAGTGTTAAATTTTTAAATTTTAGGATGAATCGAGATGAATCTTTTTTTATAACATGGGTCTCTCCTACCTTAACATACATACCAAGTTTCATAAACATCGGTTGGAAAAGTGCAAAGATAAATATGTGTATGTAAAAAATACAAAATGGTGGATATCTGGTTAACGAAACGATTTTGGAAAAAATGTTATCCTTGATTTTCTGTTTATTTTGACCCAAGGAATTACTAGGTAAAGTATCTCCCCGCTTATTTTTAACACCCTGTTTATGATGTATTCTTATAAGTGAAAAATGTAAGGTGGTAATAAAGAAAGATGTTTTATAAATAATATGAATGTACTGGTGATCTGTATATTCATCTTTTTCTTGTCCTTAGAACTATAATTTAAAAGTCCACTCAGCAGTCACATCGTACGATGTAGTTCTTTCCATGCGTTGCGAAATGCTAAATTTGCCATCCTCTTCAACCCAAGTTATCTACTGAACCACTGATTGTAAAAAATTCAAAAAATATATTTTACGCATCACACTTTTGGCTACAACTTTGCCACAGACAAAACATCTCTGACCCCAAAACAAACAAAAATCTTGCATGCTAACTTTTTCATGTTAGAAATCACGATTTAAAACTATTTCACCATACATATCAATTTTTATTAATTAGATCGGTAAATAGTTTAAAGTTCCAACAAAATTGTCATCGAGTAGGACTAACCAAGAAGCTCTTTGCCAATTTTCAAAATTTTAGCATAACTTTAAGTACAACAAAACACGAAATTATTGAAGTCATGCGTCGAGAGGACTATCATTGTTTTTAACAGATTATACTTTTGACCTTCCGACACTGTTGACTCAGCGAAACTGAACTTATTTTATATTATTTCGTTATATTAAAACTGCTGTTGCATTAGGTCAAATTCCCAATAAGTCAATCGCTTTGGCATAGACTACGTTTTTAGCACGGACTGTATTATTTGACTTACGGGGATTTTTGATCTACAGACACTGCAAACATTGTAGTTTTTGACCTAGCGGCACAGGTATAAATTATTTGATCTTCCGGGACTGTTGACTTTCAGCAACGCGTCCCATCAAAAACCACACCTCACTCGACCTTAAACGTAAAAACAAAATTATTCAGGAACAAGGGCCCTTCGGAACAAAAAGGGCCCCAAAAAGGGCCTTAGGACGCCCAAAATTTTGGGGACTCATCGGATCTTCATTTCTCATATTATTAGTAACTCACAGGTGAAACTTTGTGAATGTACAAATTTTGTTGTTTATAATATGGAGTGTTTTTGTATTATTTTACCTGTACTAAGGGACATATCTTTAGATTTGGTAGAGAAATGTAAAGACAACTCACCAGCAGCTAAATATGTGTAAAATATTTTAGACCATCTTGAGCGTCTTTTCAACATCATAAAAGACTGGTACGCTTTCCCCCACTCCAGCTGTATCAAGTAGCACCAACTAACCTAGAAAAACAGGAAAATTAAACTCAATATCCTTTCATTACCATATGAAACCAATTCTTTTACAAATCTTGCATGAATAATGTTAAAGCAGGGATTAGTGCATGACCATAAATAGCATGAGCTCATGGCTTGTTCTCAACCAACTTGGAACTATGGCAAGTAATGTTTCAAGGATATCAAATTTGAAAGTTTATTTTATGAGTAAAGTAGCTTTGTGATTCTGCATAGCATGAAAATACAGCGTTGTGACAAAAACCCGATCTATTATCTTCATTGCACTGTTCAGCGATAGGTCCTCTGTGGGTGGTGTGGGTAGTCTCGTTGGAAAGCCTACACAATGTCATTATCTTTAGTCATAGAAGAGTGGTTGTGTGATCAAAGTGTGTTTGTCAAGTCATTTTTTTAAAGTAATGATTCAGTCATTGCAACTCAGCGGCAATTCCATGCATTCTTTAAATTAGGTAGTCATGGAGAAGTTCCGCCGCAACTACATGTATGGATAATCAAAGATTTAAATAGATTAACTGAAATTTATCTGTGGGGATTAGAACTATTAAGATCACCTCAAAATTTGTGTATTCAAACGGTCAAACATGTTGAAAGCAGCTGCTTGTTTTCGTGTGGTCCTACAAGGACTGTTTTCCACAGCATCACAAACGCTGTCAAATGTTTATTTTTCTGGTATCCGATCTTACTTTGGACGTCCAGTTAGCTTCTTTTTCAACGCAGAAGCCATTTTTGTAAAGTTAGTAACCCATCGTATGATTTTGCTACGAGACGGAACCTCTCCATGTCAACCTAATTGGAAGAATGCACGGAACTGCCACTGCGTTGCAATGACTGAATCATTACTTTTTTTAAACGACTTGATGACAAACACACGTTGCTCAGACGACCACTCTCCTGTGACTACAGAAAATGGCATAGTGTAGTCTTTTCAACGAACCAAACCCCACTAACCTCAGACAAATTGTCGCTGAACAGTGCACTGAAGAAAACAGATCGGTTTATTTGCTGCACCCTGTACATACATACCAAATGACCCCTGAAAAATTTTGTACATCTTTCTTTATCCAACCACAATGTTTTGCTCTGTTATACTAGGACAATGAGTAATTTTATACTATGGCTAGGTCAATTTTGTATCAGTAAACATATTGTGTACAAACCTCATGAAGACACAACAATTGAACCTCTCTTTGTGGAGATTTGTCAACAGCTGATAGATAAGCTTCTAAAGCAGCTGGGATGTTACTCTGTAAAGAAGAACAAAATTTGGTTGAACAAACAGGGAAGAGCAGAAGTATTTTTTTATGTCAAGGGCCACATCAACTAAATTTTTTTTCTGTCTGCAGTTTCAGTCTTAATGTAGCTGGAAATTTTAAAGCAAAAAATAACCTTGTAAGTAAAAAAGCTTTTAAACTTTTTTGGACAGGTATCATCTGGCACATTTGTCCTGAAATACTTATTACGGACTGATTATGTCATGAATTTACATGCAATGAAATTTACTTTAATGTTTTTAAATTTTGGTGAAATATTTTTGAATAGCATATGTTGATACAGAGGCTAACACCACAACGTTTCTTAGTCTCAGAATTTGGACCAGGATAAGGTGATTGCGAGCAATGGTAAAGACATGGAAATTATTTTACGATAACTATTAGCTGATCTGATCACAGGAGAGGTGCTATTTTTCATTGGGATCTCAATAACAGTAACAGTAATTATAATTTCTAACAATATATCTGTGTTACACGGTAAAAAAGATTCGGCCCACTCCTTTAAGATAAGCTGAGATAGTAACAAGACCAGGGTTTGGACCGTTCCAACAAAAAACGTTAAAATAACAGGGTGTTTCAGTTTTAGTCCAGTTAAAATTAAACAAATGATTGGACTTGCAATTGGAAACAACTTTATAAATGGATTGAGAGAGTGATCGAAACTACATTACCTTAAGCCTATGGATCCGGCCAGTAAAAAATATGAAGAGTGCCGAGTTGGAAAACTCGGGCTGACTTTCCGTGATTAATATCTCAGCAGTTTCCAGCCCTGCCTGGACGTTAGTGCCGTCTAGAGCTAGGAACGGACGGACGATAGTGTGGTACCACAGCAGTGCTAACCTACACAATGGAAATGATAAGCTGAACCAAGAGTATTTAGAAAACATATCAAGGAGTACCAGTAGGCATATGGCAAAAAAAGGTAAAAAATATTGTAGAAGACTACTAAATTATTCATATAATCCTCACTGGTAGGCCTAATTCAAACACAAAAAGGCCCAAAAGAAAAATCTAACTAAACCTAGTTGTTGAGCATTAAGCCTTGATGTTCCAAGAAGTTCAACTTCCCCAAAAGTGTATTCAATTTTACGACTAATTATTTTATTTTACAAACAATGTATCCTAATATTTAAGGTCATATCATTGACACAAACAGCACAGTGTATGAGAAAGAAAGATGGACATGAAAGCCAAGTTGTATCACTTGCCATTTTGTGACGAATAAAAACAACTTGTTGGTTTTATCAAACATTTAAAAAATAATTATTGAAGTAGGACTGTTATTAGCCTACACATTTTCTCGATGATAGTTTGTTCTTATCTAAAAAACAAAAAATTCTCATTAATGAAATTTTAGGTTTTTATTCCTTCTATCTAACTTATTGTTTTAACTTTTAAAAAGTTTTCATTAGCCATAACTTAAGTATTATTTGATCATCATCAGACTCAGTGGTTAATGCAAATTACAAAGATAAGTTTTATAGGAACAATTAAACTATGCAAATGTAGGGAAGTGGTATGAATATGGTAGCATGCTGGTCTAACCGATGAGTACTCACTGTGACATCACAGCCACACGGCAGTGGAATACTTTAGTACTTTAATACTTTTCAATGAAATGGCAACCATACAAAGCAGGTATTTTAAGCCAAGTATGAATAAGAACCACTCTGCTTACCAACGTGAGCCTGCCCCTGTATTCTATGGCCTTGGAGTGGGCGTTATATAACCTAATAGCCTAATAGGATGAATAACACTATTACTGATGAATCACCTATTACCTTGGTAATATGTTACTTAGAATACCCTATTATTTTTGTAATGTTTTCTGAAGCCTTAGAACGAGCTAGTGAAATAACACTGATTGTGTCGTCCTATTCAATAATAGTAACCGCTTGGTAATAGTTTAGTGAGAATCATATTATTTCTGTAACCTCGTAGTACGAACAAGTGAAATAACGCTGATCGTGTCGTCCTATTATCCTAATTAATAATAACCGCTTGGTAATAGTTTACTGAGAATCATATTATTTTTATAACATCGTAGTGCCCGAATAAGTGAAATAACGCTGGAAGGGGAAATAATAGGCCACAAAAATGATAGTGTTATATCACCTATTACCAAAAAACAAAGTTACTGAACTATAACTGAAAAGTAACCGTATTTCCCATCCCTACTATAGCCCGAAACATTGCACTCACGTGGCTAAAGGAGCTCTCATCTCGGTTCCTTTCCTGGCAAACATCAATGCTTCCAGCCCAACGTTCCTGTCACCTCCAAAGCCCAGCAGCTGTATAAGCCGCAGCAGTGAGGCGGGCAGTAGAGACAGACACAGTTGAAACACTCCGTAACCGAAACTGACGGCACACATCAGTCTGGAGACTTCCTCTGGGTCTAGATGACACCTGGTCACAACAGCAATATTAGTGGGTCGCTAATTAAATATCCATGTTGTAGTAAAGATAATCCAGCTAGACTGATGGAAATTTGCAAGTTAAGAGTTTACATTATTTATACAGGGTGTTTCAGTAAAGCGTAGCGGGCTATGCAGATTCAGATTCTACATGCCAAAATAAGTCGAAAATGAAGAATAACTTTTTTTCGATTTCGGCTTAGTTTGGTCGTAATCCGCCATTTTGTATTTTTTTTTATAATTAATTACTCAAAAACCCTTGGAGATATTTATATGAAACTTGGTATAAACTTTAAGTCTACAGGTATTAACATTCTCCAAAAATATCTTCGATCAGGCTCATCTAGTTTCAAAATGGCGACCATTTAAAATTTTTTTGTAAAGGCCGCTTTTCATTGAGTTTTACTTAAAAAAATTTAAATGGCCGCCATTTTGAAATTTGATGAGCCTGATCAAAGATATTTTCAGTGAATGTTTTGTACCTGTAGACTTAAAGTTTATACCAAGTTTCATAAACATATCTCCAAGAGTTTTTGAGTAATTAACTATTTAAAAAAAATACAAAATGGCGGATTACGGCCAAACTAAGCCGAAATCAAAAAAAAGTTATTCTTCATTTTCGTCTTATTTTTGCATGTAGAATCTGAATCTGCATAGCCCGCTATGCTTTACTGAAACACCCTGTATAAGTTATGCCTTATGAATAGTAAATATGCTGCCAATAAAATATTATAAATTTTGTAAATAGGTAAAGGTTTAGTATTTTTTTCAATACAGGAGACCCGATATCCTCACTAATCCTTATACTTTTGTCATAATATAGCCTAAAGAAAGACATGTACACTCAATCAAAATATTAATACAATCTTAAGAAATAAAACTCCTGAGGATTTCAGAGTAAAAAACAAGACGAGATAGAAACAGAAACAAAGATGCATCAGCTCGGGTATGACAGAACAGTCTTAAATCACTGAATGGCAAGTCTACTGTGGTTTATTCATGCGATAAGATAGGTGAAGGAGAGTTCACTGTGTACTTACTGTGGAGTGGGACTAAAAGAGTTGAGCAGAGATGTGAACGAGTTGCGGTAACCGTTGAGATAGCCAGAGGGCGAGGTTGGAGTACTGGGAGAGAGTGGAGTGGGGGAACCCGGCGTCGACCAATCACAGCTTGGGGACTGAGGCAGAGGCGAGAGCAGGCTTGGGCTGCCCGTCACAACACGCCAGGGCGGGAAGTCTGAACCTGTGAAGAAAGACGATGAAATGAAAGTTAAAGGTAACATTTGATCTTAAGATGAAAACATTTATTTAAACCTGAATACTGACATTTTGAAAAAAATAAGACTTAATAACAAATTATTCAAAACCCCTTTCACACAATGCAACTCACAAGAAAAAAGTAGTAAACCAATTACTGACCTAATAGTTTGGTTAAACACTTAAACAGTTTCCCACCTACTCTTTAGTCATGCCATGAACACAGAAGGGATACGGGAGAAGTAAGGTAGAGCTTCCCCACCTCAGGGTAAGCAAGCTCAATCTTTACTCCATGTCTCTTAAAGCGTTTATAACTCCAAAATGTTTTAATTCTGCCTTTGGACAGGAGGCAGCTCAAGCAAATCAGATGGAAGGGCACAGGTCATGGTCGCCTAAGGAAGTGTCTGTATTGCTTAAGGATACATAAATGTGGTATATCATGTAGATGGTCTGAGGAGACAGATTATCAGCTGTTTGGCAGTACAGATCCACCTGAAACACCCTTAGAAGCATGGCAAACTCCTACCTCCTGCAGAGCTCATGGGAAGGATACTGCATTTTATCAAGTGCCTGAAGTTCAATGGACTTAAGAACATAATTGTCCAACTCTACATTAAAACATCAAAATAAACTACACATTTATGCCTCTAAGTATTGGCTAAATACAGCAATGTTTGCCTATCTACAATTTCTGATTGGCCTCAAACATACCTGGTACAGGTTTTTCATCCCCAAAGGTCTGTCTGTATAATGCTAGGATCTGATTATACGTGTGTTGGTAAACCTTCCACGCTTTCCGCAGCACCCACCCTCCTCTTACACACCCCGTCACGTCGTGCTGTAGAAATGTCAGCAGCGCTAGGCACACCTGGAACCATATATAGATGCCAGGAAATCACTTTTTTGACTAACCAAAATAGATTCAAAATCCAACCTAGGATAAGTTTTGCTAAAAGGATTTTTGTTGGGATAACAGACTTACCAGAACGGGAAGGAGTCCATCCATGCACAACCACTACAGTAGAACTCTGATTATCCGAATCAATAGGGACCAGACCCCATTCGGATAATCAAAAATTCGGATAATCGGAGTTTTACCGGAATTCCGGGAATTTTAAAGAAAAATCCTCATTTTCGGTACTAAGTAAACTTTTAATTAATAATAATTTAAATCAGAACATTTTTACAGTTTAAAATGCTCATAGTAAAAGTGTTCTATACATGTTATTAAGTCAATAGTGTTCCATCAAAGTCCAAAATTGGCTAAATGTGTTTAATAACAATTCTTTGATATTTTGCAAAACTTATTACTGTAGCTTTACGTTTTTAAAATTGTTGAAATAAGCGATTCGGATAATTGGAGATTCGGTTAATTGGAGTTCGGATAATTGGAGTTCTACTGTAATTCTTTACACTAGAAATCAAAATTAGAATATTTAACCGTCAGGGAAGGAAGATGTCTTCAGATGCAAATCAAGCTTTAGGTTGAAAAATCTGTTAGTGAAATATTCTAATTATTGGGTATAGTGCAATTTTTTTTAATTTCTTGGGCCAAGAAAGAGTCTTCTTTCATCGAGGGGACGTGCTCTTTTCACGACAATGCTTGAAACCTAGGCTCTCATTTCCTGGCTATTATACGTTTGAATTGGGTACATATTTGTGAAAAATTGTCTATCAATTTCTTTAAACCCATTGATGCTGTGTCATGAGTTTAGCTCGTCACAGCGTTTAGCAATGAGGAAGCCGTACTGCTAACACACAGGAGCTTTAATTGTTTGTCGAATCTCACCTACGAAATTTATAGCCCACAGAGACAATAAATTCTTCGTACGCTTATTTATGATTTGCTCTGGTCAATTGCACTAGTGTCAACATTTGTACACTTCTGAGATTGTTCTGTTGTAGTTCTGAGGTTGTTTACCATACACAGTTTTTGGCCCGTACACAATCCATATTAGTATTACTAATGTGTGGCTAATGCGATGGGAGTGGCTAGATTAAATAAACTGTGTCCAGCTTGGGTGGAAGTGGACTACATTAGTGAATTAAAAGGGATTGCACACACTACCTGTTTTGCTTCTTTTACATTAGTATAGAATAAGACCCATATATGGGTCCTAAACTAACCCAAACTAACTTTTAAATTAGGCTAGTCTTAAATTCAATCAGGTTTTCCCAGTAAAATTTTTAATCTCGCACATAATTCTCGGTTTTACACGAATTTCCGGTCATTGACCACCTTGTAAATGATCTAAACAAGTTACTTTGGTAAAAAATTATAAAAAATTCCTGCATTAATGGGTTGGAATAAGAACCGTTCCGCACATGTTGCTGGCTAACTAACGGGCCCTATCTTGTGACATGACATAGGTGTATGACAGAGAAACAAAAAATTATGTAATTGAATGGTATAGCAGTAATAATGTATTGTTTCGACATTTCTCTCATCCCAGTTTAGTCTTGAATTTAAAAAAATCAAATCTTAATAATGTTCTTACCTGTGTGTCAGCCAACACGACCTGCTCTTCTAGTCTTTCCCCTTCATTCTTGTCCTACAAAAAGCACATTGTAAGATGAAAAGCTTGGAATTTAATAAATACACTGATGTATGACAAAAATGAAAACTCAACAACAACTAGTGACAACATACTTGGTAGCAAGAAACACAGAAACCAAACATACATCACCTTCATCGCTCCAAACACCTTGTTCTTCATGGACTTCAGCCAGCCAATATCTTGAGCACATTTTTTCTCTAGGTCTCTCAAGGTATTTGTAGCTTCTGTGAGCATATCTTCCTCGAAAGACATCAAGGCGTTCTAAGGGCATAAAGTAATATGCACGTTAACAAATTTAAAAGAAAGTAAGAGTGAAAAGCCTCCATGGTTTTGTCCTTATGATTATAGGTGATATTAGAAGACAGAAAAATATGAGGGCCATCCAGAAAGAAACATCAGACGCTTCACCTTAGTGCTGCTAGAGGCTGTGATCATTTTAGCATTAACAGCATTACTTTAAAGAAATGGATCTTACTGTAAAAAGCCATCATCGGCTGCAACTTTCAAAATGAAGCCTTCGTCTATCATTTTTAACGTTAATGCACCACTGTCCCACACAGCCTCCACTCAGCACTCCTTTACCAAAAACATCACAAATCTAGTAATAAATTTCAGTTCTCTTGTGATTTTTTGTTTCCAACTGGCGGGGTTTGTAATGGGTAATATATCTTAATTATTTTCAACACTCCACTATGACAAAGTAGTGAGAGATATGATGTGCAAACTCCATTAGCAGCTGGATGCGTAGGTACTGAATGTAGGAAAGCTCTGATGCTAGGATGGCGGGGATAGAACTGCCCCAAGAAGCACCATTTTGAAACTTCTTATGCTTCCTGGACAGCCCTCGTATTTGCTTACAATTTATTAATACAAAATAACATCAATTTGATTTTTTTGTCAATGGTCATTCAAATACAATAGAACAACTCTCCGCTACGTATTGGACTTGTTCAATGGATAGGGGTGCGATCCCCACAAATATTTTAGGGGAGCCTCCACTTCCCGTTCGCTGCGGGCTACTCACCGGTGAGTGCTCTAGTTCCTTTCTGCCACCCTAAACGCTCACCCGTGAGTGGCGGCATCGCCTATATCCCATTCAATTTCAGCCAGGCAGCACACCGGGGAGAACGGGTATTTTTATGTCTGCGTAAAGCTAGGAATGGATGCTTTTGGTGTAAGTTGGTAGTAAATTTCCCCGTAAAATCCCTTTCTGGCAAGCTTAGAAGTCAACTTGTTATCCCGTCTTTCTCCCTCCAATCGGCAATACAATGGGACCGGCTAGTTCCAAAAAGTGCTGCTATCTGTGAGTGTTTCAGTTTCAACGCAGAACATCACATTACGTCATCTGCTATTCGTCAGACCAAAATATTTTAAAGCCAAACGGGTTGCTCGACAATGGGGCTACCCTTGCCGTTGATGGGCCGCAGCGAACGTGTTCAAAGAGTTTGTGATTCACACCAAGTGTTACTGGCATCAAACTCAAAAATAACTTTAGCGCATTATAATATTGAACAGTTTGTAAAATAAAATACTATAGTCGACTCACCATAAACACAACAAAACAATGGCCGGCAGCTAGTTGTATTGAGTCTTTACGATTAGCAAACAGCTTCTGCGCCTCTTCGTACTGGTTGTTCAACACAAGTTGTATTCCTCTTCTCGCCAACACCCACTCTGGCTCTTCACTACTTGCATCTTCAAATTCTTCTTCCTCCATATTGTTTAGTGGAATGGCATTGTAATCTAAGGACAGTTGTTAAGTTTAAACTAAAACCATAGATAAACATAGTCCCTTAGTAGATTTCCGATCCTTATGGAACAGCTGAAGCTAATTTTATTGTTAGTTCAGTCCGGTTTTCTGTAGATGTCGTGTTTTGTTTACAATTTGTTTCTTGTTATTACATTAATTTAAAACCTCGTTTAACCAAATAATACTATCTAATCATAAACTTGTCCCCACTAGTAATATAACCAAACGGTGAGACACAAATGGTGAGAAACTAACCCTAAAGTAATAGAAACAAATTGTAAACAAAACACGACATCTACAGAAAACCGGACGGAACTAACAATAAAATTGGCTTCAGCTGTTCCATTAGGATAGGAAATCTACTAAGGGACTATGTTTTATCTATGCTAAAACTAAATAGGTCCTAGCTAACTGTATCTTGTCTTTCCAAATGGATATCACTTGTAGTCATAATCTTTACCATCTGTCTATATCATATGCTAAATGCTAAATTGAACCAATAGTTTAAAACTGTTAAACAATTTTCAAACAACTCGACAGCACAGAAAACATACTACTATAACCCAGAATGCTAACCGCATGGTAAAAAACATTAAGTGTTTTGAGAGAGCTTTGCCTGTCAATCCGTAGGCAGCGCCACCAGCGCTGCCATGCACTCAGCAAATTGACAGGCAAAGCTCTCTCAAAACACTTAATACTTTTTACCATGCGGTTGGCATTCTGGGTTATAGTAGTATGTTTTCTGTGTCGACAGTCAACAGTAACAGTTTGACAGGCTGGTGCACATAATAAGAAGCAATGTTTTCAGAACATTTAAGTTATAAGTTAAGTGTTGAATATCCTACATTTCTTTGAATAATCATTTTTTTAAGTGATCAATTTATAAGAAAAAAATTAAATTACCGCATTACAAATTTCAAGTTTCTGGATACAACCCCCAAACTCGACCACTTCTGGGTGTGGTTTTAAGTGAGGTTCTAGGCCTACAGGTACTGTATTCAAAAATTCACACTTGCTCTAGAGGCCTATGTTGTGGGATGTGTTGATGTAAGACGTGGGTTCTATGAGTACCGGTCATTTAATTATTGATGTGGATATGTGGTAGAAGATTTAGTGTTAGTACGTAACAATGAAAGAGAGAGAGAGAGAGTGGGAGGGAGAGAGAGAGAGATGCTTTATTTGAAATTTTAACCCATGTAATCATGTAACAATCATGTATGAAATCGAACAATGTTTCTACCTATCTTCATTTTACCTTTGGCAATGAATTTTTGGATTTCTGTATGCATGATGTTTGGATGCCTAGGCTAAGTGTTCGCCGGCATATTGAATATTGCTGTCATCTTCAGACATCTTCAATCCTCCGCTTGTAGGCTAAATGTAGGCAATGATTTTCTTAGAGTATTCAAACCTTTCCAAAAAATCAAGACCAAGCTCATAAACTTCTTAGCTGGAATTATTTCCTTCGATGATTCTTAAACAATAGATATTTGTTGCTTCTATTTTCTACATCAGTGCAACAGCAATTATGATAACACATTAAGCACTGGTTTACAAGATGCCTGCTGACATAGGCTAGGCCTATTTCAACTATAAATGAAATGAAATCATAAAATTGTTATAAAATTGTGTATAAAATTGTTCTACATATTTTTAGATACCTTGGACAATAGACAGTTAGTTCTATACTAGCTTCTTATTTTACTGACTTAATGACATCCGTGAACTAACTTAAACCATTCTTTTGAATCTTACACTTAAGTTATATAGTTAGGCCTAAAATAGCAATATGTTAATCTAATTGGCATGTAGGTAGACTCACCTATTGGGTTATCATACAGACGGTCCTACCCAATCACAAAAATGTACAAATGGTGAGTTAACTTAGCCATAGGATAATTTGTTAAAGTCAAAAAGTCAAAGTCCTTTATTCAACCAGATTAACAATACATTGCATTGGCCAAGTCAAGAGATTACATTTTTATGAAATTAAAAAGCTTGGATAAAAAGCTTGTAATAACTCTGTTGGATTCTACAGTGTTAAGTAAATAACGAGTTTATTAAGTTGAAACAACCATTGATGCATCCATAAACTAATTTTCCATGTCAGTCACTGTCACTAAAATTTTAAAAGGTACCTACATCAGAAGAGTCCAAATTTAGTTAGGCCTAATTGATACAAAGTAAACAAAAGAAAAACATGAGGTAATGGTACTGATACTGACCACTGGACCACTGTCACTGCGACTAACCGACTAACCGAGTATCCGACTGTCCCGACTACGAAGTACGAACTACAACTCTACGACTATACCTAATAATATTTTTGAACACTCAATAGTCGAAATACCGGCAACTTGAATAATATCATTATATTCTTTAAATAGTCTGAATCAATGAGGCGAGGACGGAAACAACGATTGTCAAAGCCCATTACATGCACTTTTTATTTATTTTGTTTTAGTCAGACGTTTCGTCGTTTCGATACTACTAATAATAAACTTTATTGCATACGAATATCTCAATATCGAAAGACTTGAGCTAGCTAAGCTGAGCTAAGCTAACCCGAACTTAGTTCAATAGACATTATTGACAACACTAAAAACTGACAGACAGACTCGACAGATGAGCAGCAGCAGCGGACTAGCAGACAGCACAAAGTGTGTTTTTGTTTTTTCACTTTTTCACCAGCTTTTAATAGAACCACTGAGCTATAGAATTATAATTATTTTTATTAACTATATTATATAATTATTAACTATGATTATTATAATTATAGCTCAGTGGATAGAACCTTATATAGTATTATAAAATGTATGACCTTACAAAACACTAAGTTAAGTTACAATCCAAATTTATTTTCAATTAAATAGTTTTTTTGGTACTTAGGTATTATACGGAGGCCACATTTTTTTCAGCGCGCTGCGGCGGCTATGTTAGGTTGGGTTATCATAAATGACCCAACTATGTTTGTAGGACTTTCCTCGTTTTGTTATGAATAAAACGATATCAGACGAGTCATACTTTCTATTATGATAACCCAACCTAACATAACCGCCCCAGCGCGCTGTATAAGGGTGGCCTCCGTATAATACCTAAGTACCGTTTTTTTATCTCCAATTTTAATCATGCGAACTACCCCGATACAATTTTTATTGGTCTTTAAAATTGTGCTGGCCATAAGAGACAAGACAAACAGGCAAAGAATTGGTCATAGATTAACAAAACCAACACAAGTAGACTTCTCATCCATTGTAAAATTTAAGCTCGTTTTACCTGTCTAGTTCATGTTGGTCGTGACACTGGGCACTAGTGTGTGTGTGGTTTACGAAATTTACGATCACAGTTTTATTTGGTTAAACATGGGTTGTTGCTATCCTAGTAGTTAGCATCTCAGACTTCGGTACGGATTCAATTCCCGGCACGTCCACAAAACTTTATTCTCAAGTTGACCTCTTGTAAAATGCCACTGGCGTAAAAATACAAGGTTTGGAACTACTGAAATAACAAGAAACTAGTTGTAAACAAAAAAGACGATCCTAGTGGTCCTGAACTAGAAAATATAATTCCTCAGCTGATCCACAGGATTCGCAGGAGCATAGACAAAAAGAATTGCAGGAGGATGATATTTTTAAGACTAATCTACTGAATAAGTCAATAAGTCATTGGGCCAAATTGACAATACTTTGCATTAGCCAAGTCAGTACAAGAAAAATAAATGTATTACATCTTAATAACAAAAATTCCTTACTGTAAAAATTCTATAACTAAATAACTAAACATGCGCACATGCGACTTTGTGAATGCGACCACTAAAGTAGGTATTCACGGACGCTGTAAAATGACTGTCTAACAACATGGACTTTAGACCTGTGTTAAAATGTACAATTTCTTGCCTGCATCCATCAAAAACCTGTGTGTTTTAAAATTCAAACATGTTTTAAAAACTACTCTAACCCAGGCTTGCCTGTATAAACATGAAGAGTACTTTAGTTTAGAGTTTTAGATATTTTAGTTGCCAGAGCTATCTTGGTTGTTTTGTTTTTATTTTGACGATTGTCATGAACTTTGTACATAGTTTTAACGACAATAAATCATTTCATTTAATTTAATTTCATTTCCTACTGAAGGATGTATGTTTCATTTCAGCGCATAGCTGATGCAGTTAACAATGAAAACAAACATTTAAAAACAAAATTTTCAGTTTATTTAAACAAGATATATAAACGTCAGGAATTTTTTTATTTTAAATTATTTATCTTATTTGCGATCGTATTCAACCACGGCCGCCTTTAACTCCGCGGCCTTCGAATTGGCAACGTCGCAAGTGGTGTTGTAACAGCTGTTTAGTTTGGCAGCAGCTAATGGTATGTGTGTATCATCGATCTCTATTATTATACTCCATGCCGCCACCACCATCACCGCTAACCCTGAAGCACGATTTTTATTTCAGCTGCAGTTTTTTAATACGGACAAAATAAGAGTTTAAAAATTAGAAATTAAAAAAAAATTATTATAGGCCTAAAACTAAAAAAATATTTAATTAATTTTTAATTAAACTGTCATAACCTAACCTAACTAACCAAACTTGCTGATAATGAAAAAATTGAATAATGGTTTACTAATCGAAAAAATAGTTCTGTTCATAAAATAAAACTATAAACGCCTCAAATTAAATTTTATATTTTTTAATTTTTTTAAATTAAACTGTCATAACCTAACCAAACTAACCAAACTTGCTGATAATGAAAAAATTGAATGAAGGTTTACTAATCGAAAAAATAGTTCTGTTCATAAAATAAAACTACAAATAGCTCAAATTCAATTTTATAAGGTTTTAATTATAAAATTTAACTGTTATAACCTAACAAAACTAACCAAACTTGCTGATAATGCAAAAATCTTAGACAAAAAGTTTGTGCACCTGACGGGTTTCGAACCCGGTACCAAAAGTTCAGTAGACCAGCACGCTATCCACTAGACCACCGAGGCCGATGGCTTCAACCCCGTTCATTACGACCTTCTCACCGCAGTATTTCACCTTCCTTTTTTTTGAACCTTTGGAACAGCTACACGGAACTGTTTGGGATAATGTTCAATGCAACTGTGACAAAAAGTATAGAATAGGTTTGGCGAAACAGTTATATTACAAATAGCTCCGTTCCTTCTCAACTTGATTATTTTTCCTGCATAAAAATTTAATTATTATGATATAACTTTTTTGCTCCTCCTCATAATAATAACAAGTCTTTTATAGACATAACCTGTAAGTTAGTTTACTGGTTTCATTTTAGAATTTAGCCTCCGGATTACGTTGAATATATTAAAATGGTGTAAATACCTGCTTCGTGGTAATCCTAATGTTGCTAGTGTCGCAACTAGTTTCGACTTTTTACAAAGTCATCTTCAGGCGAAGGCGTCAAGGATGTCAAATGGTGGTCACTTCATATGAAGGTCGTCATTACACATAAATGTACATAAAAACACGAACACGAACACGGACATTAACACGTAAAAAAAAGGTACATTTAACAAGATTAAACGAACAACGGTAACTGTAAAGGAATGATGTGACACGACCGGGATGGATGCAAGGTCTAGACTACCGGTCAACGTGGTCGGTCGGTGCGATGACGTCACTCCTTTTGTCTTGTTATCAGTCAGCTGTTGTAGGTCCCATCCCATTCATTCCTGACTCTTTCTCTAGTACTTTGATAGCCGTATCATAAATATAATTTGATTGGAAGGAAAGCTTGTCGTTTAAGATGTTTAAACCATTTACCCCTTTAAAACCCTTTAAACCATCGATTTAAGAGAAAGTTTCCAATCACTAGACAAAATGGAGGTTGAAGACAGATGTTGTGTTTTAAATAAAGAATAGATTTGAATAACTTAATGAACTCATTTTATTAAGATGTAAACAGAAAAAACAAAACTGTAAAATCAAAACATAAACAATCATATTAAAATAATGATCAGCTGGTATAGCAATCCTCCTCCCTTATTTTTCTTCATATACTTACAATCTTCTTATTTGGTCCACATGTCTTTTACACACAATTCCTTCTTCCATTTTAACAAGATAAATAATATTTCCTATTTGTTTTTCAATTTTTCCAACTGTCCATTTGTCATTTGAATAAAGGGAGTAGTTCCTCACCAGCACTCCCTCTCCTATATTAAAGTGTCGCTTTGTTACTTGCATCTCTGTCACTTTCAAACTAGGCTTCTCTACTAATAGATCAAGTTCTGTTCTTATATTTCTCCCAAACATGAGGCTATAGGGAGACTTCCCAGTCGTGGAATGCTGTGTTTTTCTCAACTGTTTTAGTATAGTGTTAATCTTGCTCTCGACACATCCATTTGCAATTATAAGGCTCTTCACAGTTTGGACCACCCTTTCAGCTTGTCCATTTGACTTAGGACAAAATGGAGCTATGGTTTTTTGTATTATTCCATACCTTGTGAGAAAATCTTTGAAAGGTTTTGAAGTTAGCTGAGTTCCATTGTCTGATACCAGGACATGAGGAAACCCGAAGGTTGTAAATAATCTATCCAATTGCTTAACACACCAAGCTGTGGTTGTAGATTTTGTAGGTATAATTTCTACCCACTTACTGTAAGCGTCAACGACGATTAAGTACCACCAACCCCGCAGTGGACCAGCAAAATCAATGTGTATGCGTTCCCAAGGTCCGTTCGGGAGCTCCCATGGGTGAGTTGTCTCCTTAGGTGGATTTTTCAATTTTTGTTGACATGAATGACAATGTTTCACCATAGCTTCAATTTCTTGATCCATATTCCTCCAATAACAGTAGCTTCTAGCTAGCAATTTCATTTTTGTCATGCCCATATGACCAGCATGTAATTCTTCCAAGACTTGTTTGTGTAAAGTGGAAGGTACACAAATTCTATGCCCTCTGAATATGCAACCGTCTTGTAGACAAAACTCATTATCATTCAAACTGAGTTCTTTTAAGCTTTTTCCTGATATAAGATGATCGTATACCTTTTTAAGTTCCTCGTCCTTTTGTGTTTCTTCTTCAATTTGTCTTCTTGATACAGGCATCATCTCTACTTGATTTATTAGATCAGAATCAGAATCAGAATCAGAATCATCATTTATTGTCTTTCAGCATTACATACATGCAATAGACAGTGTCATTTTACATGCAAAATAAATAAAAAATACATAACATACAATTTGTAACAGATAGGCTTATAACTATAATACTGATTTAAAAATTAACAGAATGCTCTTTATAAAATTCTTCTAGGCTGTAAAAAGGATTTTGGATCAGCCAGTCATACAACCTTTTTTTAAACACTTTAAGCTCCAGAAATTTACAGCTATCACTTAACGTATTAAATAATTTCAAACTAACTATATTAAAACTATCTTGACATTTGCTTAACCTAGTATATGGCAGGTCTAGCATAGA